ATCAACAGCAGCAGCACCCCTATCAGCAGCAGCATCTCTATCAGCACCAGCACCCCCATCAGCAGCACCAGCAGCAGCAGCAGCATCTCCATCAGCAGCAGCAGCAGCAGCAGCAGCAGCATACCTGCAGGTCTAGCTGTCCCTGTATAGTGAGGGGACAGTGTATAGCATCAGCATTAGTTTTAGCTGCAGCATCTCTATCAGCAACAACACCCCTATCAGCAGCAGCACCCCCCTCAGCAGCAGCAGCATCTCTATCAGCAGCAGCAGCAGCAGCAGCAGCAGCAAAAGAAATTTACCTGTAGGTCTAGCTGTCCCTGTATAGTGAGGGGACAGTGTATAGCATCAGCATTAGTTCTAGCATCAGCAGCAGCATCTCTATCATCACCAGCAGCAGCAGCAGCATCTCTATCAGCAGCAGCACCCCCATCAGCAGCAGCAGCACCCCCATCAGCAGCAGCAGCAGCAGCAGCAGCAGCAGCAGCATACCTGCAGGTCTAGCTGTCCCTGTATAGTGAGGGGACAGTGTATAGCATCAGCATCAACAGCAGCAGCACCCCTATCAGCAGCATCTCTATCAGCAGCATCACCCCTATCAGCAGCAGCAGCATCTCTATCAGCAGCAGCAGCAGCAGCAGCAGCAGCAGCAGCAACATACCTGCAGGTCTAGCTGTCCCTGTATAGTGAGGGGACAGTGTATAGCATCAGCATCAACAGCAGCAGCACCCCTATCAGCAGCAGCACCCCCACCCCCATCAGCAGCACCCCCACCCCCATCAGCAGCAGCAGCAGCAGCAGCACCCCTATCAGCAGCAGCAGCAGCAGCAGCAACATACTTGTAGGTCTAGCTGTCCCTGTATGGTGAGGGGACAGTGTATAGCATCAGCATTCGTTTTGGCATCAGCAGCAGCAGCATCTCTATCAGCAGCAGCATCTCTATCAGCAGCAGCAGCAGCAGCAGCAGCAGCACTCCCACCCCCATCAGCAGCAGCAGCAGCAGCAGCAGCAGCAGCAGCAGCAGCAGCAGCAACACAAATTTACCTGTAGGTCTAGCTGTCCCTGTATGGTGAGAGGGCAGTGAATAGCATCGGCATTCGTTTTAGCAGCAGTGAGCGCTGCTTTACTTTTTGGGTGATTTTTTAATTTATAATAAATAAATGAATCTAATAAAAAAACTTCAACTAGCAGCTGCTTCTCCTCTAGCTGCTTGCATGCATGCAGCAGCTGCTGCAGCAGCTGCTGCGCTTTCGTTAGCTCCCCTTGGTTTATTCTTTGTCTTGATAAAGACAGCTGCAGCCGCAGCAGCAAGAAGCTACGTTTCTGCTGCTGCGACCATTCTATTGCTGCTTCACATACTGCAACAACTGCAGCAGCATATTCTCTTCTTGCTGCTGCTGCTGCTGATCCTCCTGCTCCTGCTGCTGCTGCTTCTGCTGCTGCTGCTGCTGCTGCTGCTGCTGCTGCTGATACAAAACGTCGTACTACTTTTGCTGCTCTTGACTTTGGTTGGGTTTCGTATAAACGCAGACACTGCTGCAGCAGCAGCAGCAGCGATTCTTTGTCTTTACACTCACTATACACCCCAGCAAGAAAACAAACACCCTTCTCGTATACACGCAGCGCATCCTCTTTGTTCCTGCTGCTGCTGCTGCTGCTGCTGCTGCTGCTGCTGGTTGTTGTGGTGGTTGTGGTGGTTGTGGTGGTGGTGCTGTCCTTTGCTGCGGTAGATGATACGCCTTCAGATGGTGCTGCTGCTGTTGCTGCTGCTGCTGCTGCTGCTGTTGCTGTTGCTGCTGCTGCTGCTGCTGCTAACGCACGACGACAGAGATCTATGGCCTTCTCTCTGTCTCCCCCCAAGCAGCATTCTGCTTCCTGCAGCAGCA